GGTATGTAGTTTGAATATCTAACTCTGATCACTTCATGTTACTAATACACCTCTGCTCAAGCCACAGAAGTTGGGCTTTATTACAATTTATAATTATTCAATACAGGGCTCAGAAGTTTAGCTCAAGCTTCAGCAGCAGCTTTAGAAGTCTTTCATTCAGGCTAGGTACAGACATTAATAAGCCTGAGGTGGAATTGACGTAAGTTATGAAGTTTTCTTATAAGCAGTGCAGTTTAGAATGGTAGAAAACAGGAAACACATATGCCCTTTGTTGTGGGGGCGGGGAGAATCTTGGATCAGGTACCACCATTTTAAACCAGTGTATGTGTGCTGAACTTCTGTTCTAAGTATAGACCAGTTTTGTGTGCTGAACTTTTGTTCTGTTATGGGTATAGACAGACTTTTGATCCAGGGATCCTAGTTTTCGCTAATAAAAATAATCCGCAATTTTCAGATTTAAAGAAGTAATGCAAAATCCACATTTTTCTATGAATAAAATGAAACACCTCTATAGAGATATCTATATAGCTATATATATCTATAGTTGTGCTTATATAGCTATAGTGGTGCTATCTATCTATCTATCTAGTGGTGCATAAGAGTGCATAAGAGTGTGTTCATAGTTTAAGCATGCATAATAAGGCTACACACTGCATAGACAGGCACTAGGGCTGTGCGCAGCTTTGGTCCCTGATTTGATTTGGCGGAGATTCAGCCCGATTCGGTGGCCAAACCTCCAAATCTGAATCGAATTAAGAGAACCTTTAATCTCTCTGAATCAAATCAGAACCCTCCAAATCGATTTGGAGAGATTCAATATGATTTGGAGATTGGGACATAGACACAGCTTTAAATGTTTTTTCCACATACCCCTAAGTACCAGGCATGGCTTGTAAATGCTGCAGTGCTGGGGCAGATGGAGCATCCCACAGAAGCACAGGGGGCTCCCCAGCACACTTGACAGTAGACCCAGAAGTGGACCAGAAGCACTTCTGGTCCACTTCCCAGTCTGCCAGGGAGCATGCTGGGGGCCCCCATATGCCCCTGGGATCAGCAACTGGTGCCTCCTGGGTCAGGGGGGCACCCAGGGGTCTGAGGGGCAGCCTTGTGTGCTCCCTGGCACATCTGGAAGTGGACCAGAAGTACTTCCAGTCCACTTATGGGTTTGCCGCTGAGCACATGGAGGCCCCCCGTCCATTCCTGTGGAATGCTGCATGCACCTCAGCATCTCAGCATTCACAAACCAGACTGTTACCTCGAGGTGTGTAGAAAAAACATTTAAAGCTGTATCTATGTCTAAATCGCTGACTCTCCAAATCAGTATCAAATCTTCAGATTCAGCTGAATCGAATCAGGGACAGTAATACGAATCAATGAATTGAATCACTTTCCCCGATTCAGGCCAAATCCAAATCTGAATTGAATAGGGCCTGCTTCATACACCCTGAACAGGCACATGGCTATATGTGTGAGGACCTGAGTGTATGTTCTATACAGAAAGGTTGAGGATGGGGAACAGGGCTTTCTTATGTTTTTGTAGCCAAGTACTGTGGGGACTGGAACAGGCTATTCTGACAGGATGTGGAATCTGCATCCTTGGAAGTTTTTTAAAAGCAGGTTAGGCATATACTTGACTAGAATGGTTTAGTCAGGGATGATACTGCCTTGAACAGGGGGTTAGACTAGATGAGGTCCAACCATAAGATTAGGTCTTTTCAAACCCTACCATTCTATGATTCCAATTTGTTCTTTTCTTCCTTCCCCTCCCTACTTCGCTTGGCTTCCCAGTCTCAATAGGAGCACCAGAGATAATAGTTCTTAAAAACCTAAAGGGTGATTATAGAAAGATTGGAGATGGCCTCTTCTCTGTGGCCATAGGGGACAGGGCTATAAGCAACGGACTCAAGGTGCAGCAAAAGAAATTTAGATGATAGGTTAAGAGGAACTTTGTGACTATGAGGGTGGTCAAGAATTGGTACAAAGTCCATAGAGAAGCTGTGGAATTTTTAGATCCCTGGAAATTTTCAAAACCAAGTTAGACAGACATTTGCCTGAGATGGTTCAATCAAGGATGTTCCTCTCTTGAGGAGGAGGCTGGACTAAATGACCTAATGAGGTGCCTTCCATCCCTACTTTTCCATGATCCTATGATTCTAGGAGGTGACATACAAGGAAAACTAGTGTTCAGAGCTGGTGGGAGGGAGGTAGATAGAGGAATTTCGGGTGACCTATAGCTTACTGCCTGAGCCCAGGGCTGTCATTGATTCTTAAATGTGAGGATAGTTACAAAGACATGCTGTTTAGATTGCAAGCCCTCTGGGGCTACAATTATGGCTTATTACCTGTTAGCAGAACATATAGAACAACATACATCATTAGCTCTTTACAAATATTATGCATCTGGAATATATTTGTCTTCAGTATTCAGGCATTTCACCAGTTTTCTAATAAAGGTTGTGCGTAGTTCCTTCTAAATCTTTATTAAAGATTGAGATCTCTTAAGAAAGGATGAGGTTTCTTTTATAAATCTTTCTTTTATCCAAAGTGAAGAAGCATAGCTTTATTCTTTATTGTTCCTGATTTAAAATCAATGCCAATAGCTACTTATATTTTTAAGAGCAGATAGGAGAGATGAATTAATATCTTTATGGGACCAAGAGCCATTTTAGAGACAGGGCTTGAGTAGGCTGTACACCTTATCAATAAATGACATGTTGTCTTTTCAGTTCTAAGACTTTATCACCATATCCCATATCCCTTAGCTCTGTGAGTGTTGCCAGTAATTATCTGATATAGTATCTGTCAAACAAAAATACTTCTGTTTATTTGTGGAATGAGTGGTTAATAAACAAAATATATATGTATATGGTTATCTTTCATCTTCACATACTAATTTTCATTAAATAAGTGAAATTTACCATATGAATTATCTTTCTCTAGAGTATTACAAGGTGATGACACATAGGAAGTATGATAATACTACAAGGTTAAGGCGAGATTCTATTCACCCATTAGGCATGAAAGTGGAATTAGGCACCCAAGTGTGCTTCTATTTCACTATGCTTGATTCTCTGACAATTTTTTTCTTAGTAAAGGTGGGTAGGTTCTCCTTATCCTTGCTGCTTATGATTCAATGAGCACATCCACATGAGATGCTGACTGCAGTAGCACTTCACAGCATCAACAGTACTAATACACTACTGCACAGTATTATTAGGGTACTGCACAGCAGTGTCACTTAAAAAACATTTGCCAGCACTACTGCACAGTAACTCCAGTTACTGCACATTTACTAAATACTTGATTATATACATACTAAATAAATGTGCAGTAACCACTGCACAGTAGTGCCTCATGTAGACACGCCTGGTCTTAAGGGTAAGATAATAGTGTGTTACACAAGTAGATATATGAATGGATTTTTAGGAACTTGAATAGGAAGGTATAGGTTCACATTTAGGTGCCTAAATCCACTTAGATGCCCAGTAGTTGAATTAGTATCTGGCCTATGCATGTCAAATTATTATAAATCTACATATTATTATGAAAAATTCATAGGACGATTTTTTTCAATATTTTCTTGGCATCCTTGAACCGTAACTGACAATATAAACATGAAAGCCAGAAACTGAATGCCAGTTTCTGATTTCATATTGGTTATGCAATCTGTTAACCTCACTAAAGGCAATGATTTTTGGGGGTGTTATCTTTATTATACAAACTGCATGGTTGGAATAAGGTTAGGCAGGCCTTCGAATGAAAGTCTTCTATTCAAAAACTTGTCTGATTTTATTCCAACCATATATTTAAAATCAATGGCAAAAGCTATTTATATTTTCAAGATCAGATAGAAAAGTTCTAACATATTTATTGAACCAAGAGCCCTTTCTGAAATAGAACCGATAAAAGAAATCACCCTCAAAAAATCTTTGCCTCTCACATAATTCCTGCACCATGGCTACAACTTTGCTCTAACTGTACTAATTTCACTGGAATCACTCTTGAGTTGCATTGGTGAGATCCAGGTCTTGGATATTTCGGTGATCATTACTGTTCTCCAGAGGCATGAAACAGAAGAACAGGAGTATCTATAAAATATAGATAGAAGACACAGACTATTTACTGCAGTAAAATGTCAGGCACATATTTATTAAGTGAGTGAAAAAGAACTATGGAGACATGCATTTGCTAGTTTGTCTAAGCTAGTAAATATTTGAGAGGTGGCACTTGCATGGATGATATATTTTATGAAGAAATCAACATAGCTCAGGCCATATTTTAATTAAGGAGGGATCTGATGGGGCTGAGAGTTGGTGGTATGGACAAAGGAATATGAACTGGAACTGGTATCTTCATATCTCAACCTGATAATTTTGTATGACTTCCAACTTCATTTCTGAGTTGTCCTTTATTTCCAAAATGGCTTCATTATAATAGGGATGACTAAAAGTTATGAAAGAGTAGGAGAAGACTTTGGTGTTGAAAGATTATGTGTGAGTGTAATACTTTATTAGAATGTATGTCAGGTTTTAGGGGTTTTTTTCAAGCACTAATCTGAATTTTCTATTTCCTCTTGGCCACAGGCTGACTGACCAGGCTGGAATTCATTGGAAGGAATCATTGCGCTACTAAAGCAGAGTTACTACTGACTATCTTTTCTTCTCCACTTGTTTGGAAGCGTTGCCAGGATTAAGCCATCGTTGGAGTCTGGGGATGGGCCTTAGGAACAAGGACTCCCTTGCTTGTCATAGCATTGGAATCTGTCTGTGGTCAGTTATCTGAGGCATCAATACATTCATCCTCAGATTTTTTCACTGCCTGAAGAGGATTCTGTTTTATCCTTAACCTCATCTCCATATTGCCTTCCCCATCCCCTTATTTTCCTTGACTGATTAATTTCTCTTTGGCTGTGGACGATTGAGCCCTGCTGATGTTGATTTAAACAATGTCGAGGCCAATGGGACTTCTATGGCTGCCTTTGATCTTCACTCCGGTCTGTGTCATGTTGAATGCTAACTTCCTCCTGTGGATAACTGCACTCGCTATAAGATTTACTCTCATTGATGGCCAAGCACAATACCCTGTTGTTACGACAAATTATGGCAAAATACGGGGTCTAAGAACACCTTTGCCTAATGAGATTCTTGGTCCGGTGGAGCAGTACCTGGGTGTTCCTTATGCCTCCCCTCCAACTGGCGAAAGGCGATTCCAGCCCCCGGAGCCTCCTTCCTCCTGGACTGGGATCCGGAATGCCACACAGTTTGCTGCTGTCTGCCCACAGTACCTGGATGAGAGATCACTGCTCAATGACATGTTGCCAGTCTGGTTTACTGCCAATTTGGATACTGTGGTTACTTACGTGCAAGATCAAAATGAAGACTGCCTGTATTTGAATATCTATGTGCCCACAGAGGATGGTAAGTACTTTATTCGACCACAAGCCAACAACCAGTCCTTCAAGGGATGAGTAGCTTTTATGCAGGTGTTATACAGTGCCTCACACTCAATTTCTCCCATGATAGCATTTCAACTCAAAGTGTTTTCTCTAAATTCAGCAGAAGCACCAAGTGTATAATTGTGGCGTATTTGTATGAGTTTTATTATATCACCAAATTGCAGTTCTATTTCCAGGCAGCAGCCAATATATGCACGAGTGAAGTATCACTTGCAAAAGAGAAAGGCAAGAGATGGGGTACCTCAAAACAAACTAATATAAATGTAGTGCACACTTGAAGTACATGAAAGTATGCTTTTAAAGAAAGGGATGTTTCTATAACCTAACATGTTTCTATTGCTTTGGGTTTCCTGTAATACCTTTTGAAATGACATTTAAGTCTGCTTTATTTTTATCCATAAGACGGCTACAGTAAGTCAGTTTTGCAACTTGAGCAGTCCAGGATTGGGTTGGGGGGAGGGGTTCAGCATTTTAGTCAAATTATGTAGTGTTCTTGAGTGTTCTGTTGCATAAGTATGTTCAGTAAAAAGGCCATTTTTACCCCATATCTATTTCCAAGGATTTCTGAGATTATTTCTCTACAAAAATCCTGGGAATAACATAAATAAGTGAATTTTTCATGCTCTCACTTAAAAGGTCTCTATTCATGAAGTGCTAACTGTTTCTGACGAGGTACTGGGTGACCTCACTTCCCACTGAAGACAAGGCCTCTTTAAATCAAGCATCAAATGACTATTGTTTATTATAGGATAATGGAACACTGCAAAAGCAATGATATTTAATATTCTGCTGAAAGCCAATTGTTTCAGCCAAAGTGTAGTTACTGATGCATAACGCTACAGATTCCCCCTAGATATGCAAATCCCTGCACTCTAGCTGTGGGCTTATTTGCATAATCATGGCATTGTTATTTCTCAAGAACCGTGCTCTGAATATGCAAATTGTGGTACTCCTACTACTATAATCCTTCTGCTATGATTGGTTTTTGTATTTAGAATTTCCAAGTTGTTTGCCAATATAAGCATCTCACTGTAGTTTCCCATTCCCTTCAGCTGAAACATAAAACTAAAATATACATATATAGAATACTGGTACTGGGGTGATTTTTTGGGGGGAAAAGCAAATGTAACTACCCTGCTGCTGCAAGAGAAAGCATTAAAAAAACCCAAAAAACAAAACGTATATGTGTGTGAGTGTATGTGGGGGTGTGTGAATCTATCTTCCAATTTTCCTCCATCCTCTGATCCCCTCAGCGCACATTCCTCTTTCTAAAATGTCAACTTGGATCTTGCCTTCAGAATAGCTCTTATATATTGCCCTTAAGTGATTGATTCTGTGGTTCTTACTTAGTATATAAGACAACTTTGCAAGCAAGGGCTGTGGTCAAGGTCTTATTTGCTCACATTAGAAGAATACCTGTATATTAATCTATAAACATATATATGCAGATAACAGAAAATTAGCTGCCAAAACAGAGAGTACATCAGGTAGGATGGAAAGATGAAAGCATAAATGCTTCAGGAGAAGTTAAGTGTCAAAAGTATGTATTTTTTCTCTTTAATAAATCATTTTACCTTTCAGCAGCTGTAATTATTTTATATTATTTATCTTCTTTCTTTTAATATGTGAATATTTTAATTCAAATTCCCTATTATGATAATAGCTTGGGTAATACATGAGCTAGTAAATTAGCTTATAATGATGCAAGTTATTTAGCTAAGGATATTCTCATTACTTCAGCAACAGGAAGGACCCTCAAGTTTTATTGTGCAGAAATCTATCAACTGCAGGTTTTTCAGTTAGCTTAATTGCAGGAAAAGTAATCCATGAAACCCCCCAGCTCCCTAATGTTAGCTTTCCCTATAATACAATATACCTATGAGTTTGACACTCCTTCTAATGTGTGGGATGACAATCTCTCCAAAAAAACCAAAAATCAATCTTGTAAGGACAATAAGTTAGTAATCCATCTCTGTGATTTGTTGCTGTCTGTAACTTGTGTACAAATAAAAATATTTTCAGTAGACTTGAGAGGAGAGTCAGAAATTCCAGAGTGAAGATATTCACTTTTTGTTACCATCCATAAGTTACTTTTACAAGTTAACTGAAAAAAATACACTTAGCCAGAGTTACTAAATGTGTGACCAGCTACTCGTAGAGATGATTAAAGTGAACTGGCCTATAATTCAACCTCTTCTAAGCTTCTGTGTCACCAAATTGTACTAAAGGTAAATTGCTTTGAATTGTAGTCCATGCAATCTGATTAAACACATTATGGTTCATTATATGATTGTTAGCTGGCAGAAATAAGCTATGTTGTTATGGAGACAGACCATGAAATTAGTTTTTGATGCAGAAGTCTGAAAGTAAGTGACTGAGTTAAATTCATGTTTTCAATCGTTTCTCAAGTACAGATTTCTTTACAGGCTCCCTGAGAATGTTTTGTGTCTTTGTGAAAAGGTGGACAGAATAATCCAAACCTAATTAATGCTCTGACTATGAAATTTATCTGAATCTTTTTTATGTCTCCTTATTTTCTTGCAATTCCAGTGAAAAGAAACTGCTGAGCGTCTCTAATGCATCAACTGTGGTCACACATGACACTTGCTTCCTCTTCAAACCAATTATACGAAAACCTAATCAAAATGCAGCTCAGTTTTGCAATTTGGGAATGTATGGTGTGTGCTATCATCTACTATGTTTAAAGTTAGGTCTAGTAATACTAACTACCTTTCCTGTTAAACTCATTAGATTTGGATCTAATTCCATTTATATTCTTACAACTAAGGAGTAACTTCATAGATAGTTGAATAAATATAAACCAGAGATAAATCAAGGCCAATAACTAAAGAGTTATTATTTATTAACAAAAATGCATTTGTACAACTGATACTAAAATGTTTAAACAGCACATTATCTGTCAAATTCTACAACAATCTGTGATGTCAAAAGGTAGACTCCCTAGAAAATTAAGAAATTAAAACACTCTGCTATTCATTTTAACATTTGCTTTTACTGTACTATTGATTTTTTTAATCCTGCATGAGAAAATATTTTTTGTGCAGCCACAATATATTGCTTTTTAATTATTTGAAAATGACATTTAAAGTGCAATGAAAATCCTCTCAAGTATCCCCCAACATTAATTTTTAAAGATAAAATAATAAAATTTTGTTTCCACCCCTGCTCAAAAATAATATATATATATTTTCTAAAATGAAAAAATAATTTTTATGAAGCAAATAAAAGTAATGTATCTAGCAGATCATGTATCAAGTCAGTTCATGTAAGTGTTTTGTTTCCTGTGAAGCAGCTGACTTGGTCATTACAGTAACATCTACATTTTAAAGAATAAACAATATTTGCAAGTTTTCTCCCAGATATTTTTTATCTATCATTGAAGAAAAAAGAAGGAAAAAAAATAGCGAGAAGCCAGGACTGCTGTTACTACAGTTTTGACTTGTGTATCTTTTCATAATGTATATGAACAGTGACTGATTTAGAGCTGACGCCAACAAAATGCTCATTTTTTGTTTTTAGTGTCAAAATGTGCTGTTATAAATGACAAAAGAATTGGAAAGAATATCATTTATAATAGAAGTTGGAATTTTTATCTCAAATTTCTATCAAGAAGTAATAGTGGGTTTCTCACTTCAGTGTCTGTGAGTGTACTTTATGTGCAGCATACATGGTATAAATAAACTTATATAAGGTTATTTTACAATTACTACAGACTGTAATATTCCACAAGAATACTTGAATGTCAGTTTTGAGGAGGTCAGCTTAAGGAAATGATATTGAGGACAGTCTGTTTATTATAACTTTAGCCTGAATATGGGTTTAGTGACAGCGGGGATGCTAGACTAAAGAGGACATGGACTCTTAATCGGCTGTGCTTAATCTTTAGCCTTTATCATTTGAATCTGTGCATGCTCTAAAGGGCATTGCTAGCTGCTATCATTACTAGAAAAATAAAATGTCAACCAAACACAACCATTACAAAAATTATTACATTTTGACTGGAGAACCTTAAAAACGTCTTCACTATCAAAACATGACAAAACATTATTTAAACATCAACAAATGCTTTTAATTGAATCCCTAATTTATTAAGATCAAAAAAAGGAAAGAAAATTAAAAAAAAAATCATCTTTGTCTTCCTGGTTTGGTTAAAGTGGTTTGATCTATGTGGCCCATGATTTAGCGTGCTGTGACGGGAAGTATTTTTTACAATGTGCTTGGCTATGCAGCAGCTCTGTGTCTGACAGGGATTAATTAAGGAGGCTAAGGAAGTTCTTATTTTCTTCAGGGCTTTGCTCAGCTAAACTGTTATGCAGAGTTTTGAATCATTTAGGGCCCAATAAATGAATGTGAAACCACAAGGAAAGGCAGTAGGCCATACTACTTTGCAGGGATGAAAGAATGAGATCATAATTTCTTCAGTTTATCCTCAGTTAAGGTGAACTGGGGATATTCCTTAATCACAGCAAGAATTTTTACTGCCAGGTAAGAGGAAAAGAAGAGCTTAAAGCATCAACATGGATATCAACAGTAGCTCTTAACTGAACAGTAATAATCAGGCTAGGAGAAAGGCACAGAAGGCCTACGGTTCTCTCGTGCCTTTGGTTAAACAAACAGCAAGGAAGCACAAGCAAACAAGCAAAAAAGACATAGTGAGGGATGAAGAAAGTGTGTCTGAAAGGAAATATAGCCTGCTTTTATATGCTTTTATTTGAGATCTGGTATATATAATTGCCTATCTGGTTGCCTATAATTGCCTATATATGGGTATATATATCTGGTGTATATACTGGCATTTTGGAATAATTTTTTTAATATAATTTCTATTGACAGATTGGGTTGTTTGTTCAGTTTGATAGTGAGAAATTTCTCATCTTGATCCTTATTCCAATAAAAAATGAGCTTCCCAGTGATGACTTTAGTATAGGCGGTACAAGGTTG